CCAAAATTCCAGCCTTTGGCCACTGTGAGCCACCTTCCCCTTGCCTGCTTCCCTGGGCTGCCCTGCAGGCTCACATATGGCAGGGGGAAAGGGACTGCAGAAAAGAAAACCTGCAAAACTTAAAAAAAAAAAAGAAAAAAAGAAAAAAAATGCTGCATTTGCTATGTTTTTGTTGTTTTTAATTTAGGTGAACCAGCTGAACCCCCTTTGACTGGAAAAATTTGGAGAAGTGATATAATTTAAAAAAAATTTAATAAAGGAGGTGGTCACGGTTTTGAATCACGTTTCTGTTTGCAGTGCCATTTTCTGGACTCAGACATCAAAACAGCTCTGTAGTGTCCCCAAGCCAAGAATCTGAAGTGATTTATTTTGCTGTTAAGTACCGAGTGTGAATTTTACCCAGGAGGTGGCACTGTCTGTAGTGTTTTGAGTCCCTGTCCTGTGTCAACAAGAGATGGATTGTTTTTGTGTGATTGGTTTCCTCGTGTCACCAGTGTGTCACACTAAAGTTGCTTTTAATTTCTGGGGAAATTAGAACTTATTTCAAGGTAGCTTCGTCTCCCAAAGTGAGCTTCCAACCCTTAGGAAAGCGCAGATCAGCTCAGGTGATCATCAGTGCCACCCTTTGCCATTTGATTTCACAAAGTTAATGAAAGCCGGATCCAGCCTGGAACTCGTTATTCGGGGGCTTTAAAACACCAGATTTGCAGAACAGCAAATTTCTTCATGTGCTATTTAGCAAAGCCCTGGGTTCCGTTGTGGTTTCAGGCTCTGCAGGGAGCGGCCAGGGAGGCAGTGAAGTTTGCCATCGATGTTGGGTACCGCCACTTGGACTGCGCCTTCCTGTACCACAACGAGAGCGACATCGGGGATGCTCTGAGACAAAAAATCCAGGAGGGCGTGGTGAGGAGAGAAGAGCTCTTCATCGTCAGCAAGGTGTGCCCTTGGATAATATTTGTCACATGGGGCCAAGCTCCAGGGAGGAAAGATAAAGTCCCAGCACGGAAAGTGCCACGGGATGAAGCTGGGAGTTAACTCCTCTCTGTCAGAGCAGAGCAGTTTGTGAACCCTTGAGAAACAAAAGGGTTGGAGAGGGGCTTTTTTGTAGCCCATATCCATTGTCAGCCATGGAGACAGGAACTGAGGCCGTGCTCTCTGGGATAGGAAGCCGGGCTATTGTTTTCATGGTCACTCCTGCTGTGCCACCGGCCTCAGCCTGTCAGCTCCTCTATGTTATGCTTTGTTTTGTTTTTTCCCCCCAACAACAATGGTAGGAAAAATACAGTAACTTCTATCTGCTGGAAGCTGGTGGGTTGATTTTCAGCAGGTTCAATTATTTTCTTTGTTTTAATAGTTGCAATGATTGATGGTATTTCAGAGTATCCCATTCTCATTTTACTTACTTAACAGTATCCCAAATCAATTAAGGCACCTCCAGTGGCACTTCCTCCAGAAGAGGAGATGTGCCACATCCTGAGCTGCCTCTGTGTCTGTGCTGTGTGTCTCCCTGCCATTGTGAGGGCAGGAGAGCAGCTCCCAGGCTTTGTGTCCCCCCACAGCTGTGGTCCACCTTCCACGAGAGATCCCTGGTGAAGGAGGCGTGCCAGAAAACACTTGCTGCCCTCCAGCTGGATTATTTGGATCTCTACCTGATGCACTGTCCCATGGGATTCAAGGTATTTAAGTGCTGGGATCCATCTGTCAGGGCTCTGCCCCTTTTGCCTTCGGGACCAGACATGTCTTTAATCCTCTGCAACGAGGAATGTTGGTAAAGCTCATTAGCACATAATGATGAACCTCTGCAGGCAGAGTCCAGGAGCAAAGGTAAGGTCATGGCTGATTAAATTAGGTCTTGTATTACAAGAAACACTTTATTTTTCTCTACACAGCGTTTTCAAGTCATGGATCAAATTACCATCTGTGATATCACACATTTCTGTTTAACTACACACCCGTGACTCTAACTCCATCACTCAAATTTCTCCAAGGCTTCAGGTCAAAAGCAGTGTTTTCCAGGGAGTCAGTGCCAGAAAGCACAGAAAGCTCAAAACCCCCAGGTTTCTGGGATCCAACATCCATCCAGACCACATTCCTCTTAGAGTGTGGGGTTTGGCTGCTATTTCCTTATCAAAAATCAAACATGCCAACTACTTAGTTCTGATTTTTCTCTTCTCTCTTTATGCCCAGGGTAAATAAATCCTGGTTTCTCCATCGTGTCACCTCCCAACCTGAGGCTCACAGAAATGCCTGCCCTTCCTCTGCCTGCCAGGACAGTCTCAAGGGACAGATTTTCTTGAAGATTTCTCTGTTGGCTACTTGTGTCTCACCCCATCACAAACATTAAGTCAGGATATCCAGCTCAGTGCCTCCAGCTCCACTCGCCCAAATTTCTTAAGTCCTTATAATTCAACTGACCTTAATGTTGTTTTTCTTTTTGTGCTGATAGGCAGGAGAGGAGTTATTTCCTGCAGATGGAAATGGCATGATCATTCCCAGCAATACAGATTTTCTGGATACGTGGGAGGTACGTTCGTTTACAGGCCAAAAATATCTCACTAGATTGAAATAACAGCCTGAAAACTCCAAGCTTTCCACTGTGGGAATTGTTCTGAGAGAATTTCTAACACAAAGTATTCGAGATTGTTGATTTCTCTGTGTCCTTGGGCTCCTTTTATGTGTCACTGTGCCAAAATTTAGGTATTTTTATATCTACTGCTTACTAAACTGGCTGGGTTGGCATGACAAGAGGAAATCTTTGACTGTGTGTGTACCCTGCAGTGGCTTGAGCTAACAAGTGCTGCTGCTCTCATCCCTACCCCACTCTCTGGGCAGTTTTGGTGGCTTTAGTTGTAGCCATGCTCATCTCTAGTTGCTGTCCAAACCCTAGGAAAGCCAACATGCCCATGGCCAATGTACCAGAGCACCCAAATTTGTGTCTCTAGAAGGCAGTGGAACTGGGCCCAAGTCCTTTCTAAGCTTTGTGTGCAGCACAGGCCGTGTGGGAGGCCAGGCTCAGGCACAAGTTCAAATTTGGGCTTCCTTCCCCTTCCACTGTGTGCTCAGCACAGCCACACCAAAAGCAGGTGAGAAACTCAGTAGAGTCAGAAGAATTCACTGATGCTTTTTGCCTTCTGTCAGATGAAAAATAAGGCACATTTTTATTGTTAATTTGAACGAAAGAAGTGGACATTTCAGGCTGCTGCTTATGGCAGCAACTTCAAATGAAAATTATTTCTGCTTTGGAACAAGGGTATCTCCTGCTCTAAAGGCTGGTAGTAGATTATTTTCCTCTGTTTCTTTTCTGCTGGATGTGACAATCTAATTAGGGCTGTCTGGCTGTTTTATTGCTCATTAGTGTGAAAGAAAATAGGTGATGGAGAGGGGAACACAGTGCTGCTTATCCTATAATCCAACTGCTAAATGGTACATCTCTCCTGGGAAATTAATCAGCCTTGATCACCAGTATCCATCCTGTTCCAGCTTGTAACAGCTCCTTGTTGAACTGCTCTGTTCCAAAGAAGGTGCTTGTTATTATGGGATGATTATTTCCTTAGCTGAAGAATTAATCTAAAAGAATTTCTTTCATCTATGTGAAGAGCTGCCTGGGCATAATATTTTAAAATAGTCATATTTTACTGAAATAATAACAGTTTAGGAATTGTGTGAATATTGCTGTTGTTTGTCTGTAAGGTGACACATGATGTGAGATCCTGACTCTGACCAGAGCCCCACTGTTCATGTACTGTCCAGCCAGGAAGATTTTTACCACTGAACTTTTTGTGTGGGCATTTTTTTTCCATATAAAAATGAAAGAGCTGAAGAGGAAGTGTGGTTCTGTGGTGTTTCTAGGCTATGGAAGAGCTCGTGGATGTGGGAATGGTGAAGGCTATTGGAGTCTCCAACTTCAACCACAAACAGATCCATCAGCTCCTGAGCAAACCAGGCTTAAGACACAGACCTGTAAATAATCAGGTAAATTGCCCTCCAGCTCCTCAATACTGACATCACACTTGTCTGGGCTGTTGCACTGCTTGGAACAGCTCTTAAAAACCCCTTAAAATCCCCACACTTGCAAAAAGAATCAACTTTTCAAAGCTGATGTGGCACATGGTAGTCACCACAGTGATGCTAAACCTTGAAGTATCTTCTGCTTCTGAGAGGTGAAAGCTAATTTTAATTTTTTTTTTTTTTTTTGAGATTGAGAGCCACCCCTATCTTCCTCAGGAAGAGCTGATTAAGTTTTGCCAATCCAAAGGGATCTCTGTCACTGCATATTGTCCCCTTGGAGCACCCAACTGGCCAAGGTAAGAATATTTTATGAGATTTCTTTCTTAGATGTAGATTGGAGTCAGTGCACTAAACCCATCTTAGGATGTGGATGAAATCTCAAAGTAAAACTGTAATTAGAGAAAGATTTACTAATTCATTAAAAGTCACACCCACAGAAACCTCACACTTACTGTGATATTCAGTCCACTACAGTTTATATTTTGAAGAAAAAGGATCAATTGGTTGATGAAAGCAGAGAATTCTTAATTAATTCTGAGCTTTGGTGAGCTTATTAAACATGTAGGAGAATTTCTGAACTAAAAAAAACCCCACCCACAACAAACCAAACAAAAAACCAAAGCAGCAGATGCTTATGAAAATAGCAACTTTCCAGTCCTGCTGGGATAAAGAGATCCAGTTTTTAAACAGATAAGCTGCAGAAATTTTGCTTTTACTCTCCTCTTCGTGGCTTTCTCTGACCCAGGACAGGGCATTTGCCAGAGCAGCTGTGCTTGTAAAGGACAAAATTAAATTCTTGGGATCTGGATCAAAGAAATTCCCAGCCTGATTTCAGGCTGGACATAAGTGTGTTATAGTGACCTGTTTTTACTAGAAACTACAGGCTCTTTTCATGTGCTCATGAGAAAGAATTCCTCCATTCATGGAAAGAATGAAGGCAGGAACTGAAGTAACAAGATGTTAAAGTGTGTAAGATTGTGCTTTTTTAATGATTGAAATAATATTCTTATGATACAAGGCTTGAGGGAGAAGACAATGGGTCATTCAACTACTGAAGCCTTTTTTTTTTTTTATTTTTTATTTTCACAGGTCCAAGCCTGACCATATTTCCCTTCTTGATGATCCTCAAATTAAGGAAATTGCACTCAAGCATAACAAAACCCCAGCTCAGGTTAATACTGGTCAGAGTAATTTTCCTGTATTTTATAAAAGAACTATTTACAGAGGTATTATGGAATAATAATATGGAGTTCCAGCTGTGTCTCATATGTAGTTTAATACTTTTGAAAAATATTCCCTCTACCTTAGTTTTAGTGATGGACAGCAGATTATTAACTGCAATAGGGGCTGCCTCTCCACACAGCATCCCTGCCAATCCTGAACTCTTGCTCAATGCACTCCCTTGTTGTCATTTCTGCTTCAGAGATGGATAAGGATTTAATGAGCTCATGTGATAATTAGGAATGGTTTAGGTAATGCTTCTCCTCTGTCAACCCTCCCTGATTACCACTAGAGCTGCTCTGTGTAACCATGCAGGCAGCTTTGGTTTTCAGCTTTCTGAAGACAGGCAGCACTTCTCATGTGTAAATTCCCTTTGTTTTCCTGCAGGTGCTTATCCGGCTCCAAATTCAAAGAAATGTGAGTGTAATTCCCAAATCTGTCACTCCACAGAGGATTGAAGAAAATTTTAAGGTAAGATGGTACCTTACAGTCATTAATGATGTTAAACTACAGGAAAAAACCCCACTCTGCCAATGGCACAAACCACCCCCCTCAAACTCTGAATCAGCAAAACCTTTGTCAGATACCACACAAGTTATTACTTTTTTAATGAATGCAAAAAGTCACTTTGAAAGTAAAGACCCATGTGTTCATTAGAACACATCAGGTAAGAGCCAAACCCTTCCAGCTTGTGGCACAATTATGATGCAGGTTAGCAGCACTGGAACCTCACACATTTATTCACTGCTCTCCCTGCATGGGTGCCTGCTGCACACCTGCTACTGCTTCAGCCCACTTTGGGTATTTTTCTGCAAATAAATCTCCTCTTCTCACTGCAAGCTGAAGTAACCCAGCTGTCTGGGACCTTCATGCAGGTGTTTGACTTTGAACTGGCTCAGGAGGACATGGAGACCCTCCTTGGATTTAAGAAGCGCTATCGCATCTGTGCCTTAAGCGAGTGAGTTCCTCATCCTCATCCTCCTCATCCTCCTGGCTGCAGCAGGACTGGAGATCCTAACAGATATTATTTGATAGCCCCACTCAATAACGGACCACTGGAAATCCTCTTAACACTCTTTGACAGCCCCACTTAAAAATGAGAAGAGAGGGAGGCGTAGCCAACCTCCTGGAACCTCACACTTGGATTTATGAGAGCATTGCCCATCCTGTACTGGTTGGGAAAATCGGGATTTTTGCAGGCACCGTGTTCTAAAGATATCCTGTACTGGATGCATACCAAACTGCTGTCTGAAAATCAAAATCAGCTGGAAATTCCAAAAGAAATAAACAGCTATCCCCCCCTCCCCATTTTCTTTGTCTCCTTCACATAAGGGACAGTCAGAGTAAATAAACTCCATTTTAAGAATGAGAGTTGTAAGTTTTTTTTGAAGGGAAGAGCTGTGCCTATGTACTCCTGCCAACGTTATTAAGGCAGTGCCTAGATAACAGGATGGTTACAGACTCACCAAGATTTGCATTTTATTCAGTTTTCCCAGGTCACCCACTTGTCTAAGAGCATGCTGGGGGGGCTTGGGAGTTCCCAAGAGAGAGGTTTAATATCTCAGGGAACTTTGGAAATTTCAGCTGAGCAAAAGATACATTATCCTGTGAGAAGGATACATCACTGATACATGTGAAGGTTACAGAGAATTTGCTTCCCCTGCCCTGGGTACACTAAGCAGACACACATGCTTTTAATGTATTTCAGTGTTAATTCTTTTATCAGGGGAAAAAAAGCTTTTCCTTTAAACTAGATCCTTAAAATGTTTTAATCATGTTCTCTTTTTCTAGATGCAAAAATCACAAGGACTATCCTTTTATTGAAGACTGATACAGACAGCAGCTTCAGATCCTCCAGGGATCCAGATCCATTTATTGTTATTTCAAGCAATTTGCAGTACTTTGTATATTAATTCATGATAGAAGAGGAATATATATTAAAAAATGGGAGAAGGTACCTCACAGGCATTCTGAAGATTCATCTGTGAACATGGATACATTTGCTTCTCTTTTTATCAGCCAGTTGTATCCGTCCTTTATCTGCTCTTGTAACACAATTTCCAGTTGCAGTAAAGTATATATTTCTATTAATTTAGTAATGATAATGAAGTTAAATAAATCCATATATTTGGATTAGGAAAAAGCAGTCTTTGTCATAACTATAAATCCTGAAAAAGTTTAGAGAAAACTTCAAGTCTCTGACTAGTTATGTTTTTGGATAAAAGGGTAATACATACACTATATTTTAATTATCAGTTCAAGACAATCTATTTAACATCTTAAGAATTAAAAAGATCTTAATGACATGACATGCTGCTTGAGATGCTGAGTTCAGTAATTTCAGTGTAACAGACTGAAAGGTCTTTAGAGGACACTGCTGAAATACGATTCTGGAGATCTTAATGAGCTTTCCTATTTATGAACTGCTAAAAACTAATAAACTACTAGGAGATTTGTATATTTGGTTTATAGTATCTGCAAGAGTATATAAATACTGCCTTTATCAGTAGAATGGCTGCAGTTGAGACTGTGAATCTCTCCTAGAAAATCCAAAGGCTGATAAAGGAGACACAGGAATTATTTTGTTTGGCAACTGTCACATTTAGCAAGCAGAAAAGCTGGGCAGTTTCACAGAAGGCAACAGTAGATTTTCACTCTCCTGTACTGTTCCTTGGGTACTGTTTGCTTGTGTTTTGACTCAAAGGATGTCTCTGGTTAAAATAAAGAAAAGTCAGTGCTGCTGCAGTTTTAATGAGGTGTCTGTAAATCAAGAGCTGCTCTTAAGCTCTAACACTTCACTCCAAACTCCTGTACTTGCTTTAGGCTCTTGGAGCCCAGCTCCAAGCTCAGCACTGCATGCACAGAGAAGGACAATTTTGTCATTAAGGTTTAGGACTAGGATACACACTTTATGGCTATCCTTTCCCAACTGACTTTCTTTGTAGTTGATAAAGGAAATGATGACATATCTTTGAGCTACTTCACTTTTCCAAGATGTTTGAGTAACAGGTGCCCAAGAAACAGAGCAAATTCCAATCAAATTTAATTTCCTATAGCAACTCTTCTAAAGAAAGAGGTCTGGTTAAAAAAAAAAAAAAAAAAAAAAAAAACCTATCAGGAATTGACACTGAACAGTTATAATGCAGTATATGGACAGGAAGGTGCCTGTAATGGGCATTCTCTTTTTGCTCCTCCTGAACCTGCTACATTTAAAAGGCCAGTTGCAGGTTATCATCCCAGATGCAATTAGAAAGTGAATTCTGTTGAAGGTGCTCTGCTCCCAAATATTCAGCCTGTGGTCACTTGTCAATCTACAGCAGCAGCAGCAATACCCACTTAAGGCTGTAGCACACAGTCATCTTGAAATATTCTCTACTTCATAGGAATTTTCTAAACCACATTCCAATTTAATCACAGCTATCAGATTTGAAGCTATTTACAGGATGTTTATAGACTGTGGTAGGCAGGAAGTCAGACTAGATGATCACAGTAGCCATATAATAGTAAAAAATTCAAAACAAGTTAGAAGCCAGAGATTGTGTGTTTGTTTCAGAGACAATAGATCTTTTTCAGCTGCAGAGACTTTAGCAAAGGTAAAAGGAGAAGAATTTGGGTGGTGTCAGTTACTGGGAAATAAAGCCCCCCTGTTTTGCAGCAGAGCCACAGCCCTATTTACAACGTGAATTCTAGAAGGGAGAGCAAGCACAGCCCTGAGCCTGCTGCCAGGAGCTGTATGGAAAGGTTTCTAATATCCCAAATTAATTTTCAGTCTCCATCAGCTGTGCAGCAGTGCTCTCACACCAAAGCCACACATACGTGGTTCCTAGTCAGCAGCAACAACATTATCTGTGCCAGTGAGCCCAGTAAAATGAAAACCTTAGCTTAGCATTTTGTCTTTGGATGAACTCCACAATAAAAAGCTGAAGTCATGGGGCAACACATTGTGATACATTCTGGTACAGTCAAGCCTCATGAAAAGTTCCAAAGGGCTGGGTGAAAGAAGTAAAATGTTATTTCCATGTTTTGGAGGGAAAAGTGGATAACACAGGTAATGAACAACAGGTAAAAATCCAAAACTCTGCTGATCATCACTGCTCAAGTTTTCCATCTACTGTAATTCCAAGCTCTCATACTGAGGTAAACATTGTTCAAAAGCAAACTGAATGAGAAGCCAGTCAGGTACAAACCTATTCCATGAACTTTTTGCAAGCAATCCTGCACAAGAATTACTGGTTCTTGCCTTCCTCTGAATCTTACAAGAAGACTTGCAGAAGACTGATTGAGATAATCACTGGCCTAGGAATAAGTTATACAGATGGCAATAAGAATAAGACTTTCCTTGACCTGACACCAGTACAAGGAGCTGTGCCAGATGTTTATCAAATCTGGAACAGCTTCCAGAGTGTGACTGGAAATAAACCAGTTGTTATTCCCTCCACTGTAAAAACCAGCAGAATCAAATTAATCTATCAGTAGATTAGCCCAAAACATGTAAGAGATGGCAATTCTTCACAAAGTGTGAGTGTGAACCATCATTCCCTTGGAACATAACAGATTCAGAAGGTAACTGAACAAAGTTAACTGATGGCTGTTAAACATAAAAGAACAAACTGCTGTCAGAATATTTAAATAACACTCTGCTGCAATACTCAACTTACTCATCATCAGCAAATTATTTTGACCACAGCTGGAGACAAGATGCTGCAATATGTAGATACTTGGTCTGATTCAGTTCAGCTGCTCTTATGAGCAGCTACCAGCTGGCTTGTAATCAGGCCTGTTTCAGTTTAGAATAGCTTGATTTTGCAATCAGCTTTTTTTCCTTAAGAATTCAGAAAAAAAAAAAAAAAAAAAAAGGAGTTTTGCAGATGTTTGCACTAGTGGTCCTGTACCATGCACTTTAACAAGTTAAAATGCAAGACCAATGAGGCTTATTTAATAGTTTTAAGAGCTGCCTCACAGGTAAAATAAACAAGGTCCTGCTAGAATAAGACAGGGCTCTGTATTTTAATGAAACAGAGGACAAGGTAGAGGGAGGGATGACAAATAGTTACTGACAGTTTGTAGATGACACACTAGGGGAGTACTAAGTGACTGAAATGAAAATAATTTGTCCCAAGTTAACTCTTCTGTGCCTCAGTTAAGCAGGAGACTCTAGATTTCTAGTTGTATCTTCAACACAGTGAATAAAGATTAAAATCCAAAGACAGGATTTTCTTTTCCCATTTTGAATACTGTAGTTTCCTGTGCCCCAGTTTTCATAACTCTGAAACAAGTGTATTCCATAGCATTTGTGCAGTCTTATGAGCTCAGCAAGAGGAGAGGTCCTGTCTCCTTTTTCCCTGAGGGAAGCAAAAACCAAATTAGAGATCATAAAAAAAGTGATTCCAGCCAGGCAGGCCTGTGTATTTGTGCTCCAATACCAGAAGTAAAGCTATTTTCTCTCAAAGGAATAGCCACTGCAACCTGAAACAAACATGCTGTGTCTGTCACACTGTGCTGTCCTACCTTCAACCAGCAAGTTACTCCTTGTATCCTCTGCTACACAAAAAAACTTGCAAAAACAATATCTTGCCATCTCTAAAGAGATAACTGCTGATTTTCTTTACCTGTTTTCCCTGACAAATCAGTTCACCATCGTTCTTTGCTACAATATAAACAGATCTGTCCTGTGAGAGCCTTTTTCTTTCAAACGTGAAATAAAGGCCTGCTAATCTGGTATCACTTGGAGCAGTGAAAGCAGCTGGAAGTGAAACAAATTTTGTGCAAGTACTGATTTTACCAGTTCCAAGGACGTGGTTTTTTTTCTGTTAGCTGCTCTTAATCTTTCCTTAGGCTGGGAATCCTCTTCCCAGGGTGTGCTACAGTATCACACTAGCTCAGCTGCTGCAGCACAGTCCCCAGAATGTCAAGGAAGAGGCTGACGAGGTGGAGCTGAACTACAAGTTCTTAAATTAAGAACACAAAACAAAACACAACCAACTTTTCATTGGAAGAGCTACAAGACTGTATTTATCCTTAAAAATGTCTTTGATCAGAAACCCAGAGATCTGTCAAATCACAATAGAAAAACAAATGCTGTGAACAGTTTCAGCAGGAAGAGCTCAGTTAGCAGGAATGCTGAGCTCCGGATATTGAGCTCTTTGATCTTTCCACTTTACCTTTTAGGAGATGAAAGGAAATCTCTGCTCTTGTAGGCAGAGTATGGCACAAGCATGGGGGTACAAGTGTTTTACTTGTAACAATTCTTAGACTGAAGGCAGACTGCCTCTTCCTCTATCTCAGCCTTAATTAGCTCTACCCTTGGAGGAGCAATCCAAAGCCATTAAGGATGCCAGGGTTTCCTGTCACTCCCTTCCCGTGCTTTGACAACAGCCTGCTTTCTGTGACAGCCTGTGCATCGTTACCCGTGCACTCAGGTGCTTCTCTGTTTACCCTCAATTCTCACTCTGACACTTCACCAACATCCGAGCCCTCTGCCGGCTGAGGGCTGCACTGTGTCCCAGTGTGACCCTTTCCAAATTCCTTCCCACTAAGTCACGCAGTGAAATACAGAGAGAGCCTGTTACAATGCCACTCCACACCCCGAGTGCTCGCTGCTCTCCCTTCTGCCGTGCAGCAGTCCCTCTCCAAGCTGTCTCCAGTAAAATTCCTACTTGCAGAATGGAAAATTTCAGGCACAAACTTTATGAAAGTTACAGTGAAATGAAAACAGAGGAAGCTAACAGAACCTGATGTACTATTCTGGAAACCCTGACCCTCGATGTAACTTCTGGCCAGAACACACTTGTCACAAAAATGCTATTTGCAAGCAAGTCAACATTGCCCCAA